AACAAGATCGAATTACTTCTCGCATACTGGCATGAATAGTTGATGACATGCAACCTTTTAATGTTTTAAAAAATACCCATTTTCAAGACATTCTATATGAAATTGATTCACGAGTTTCTTTTCCTGGTAAAGACATTTTCAAGCAAAAATTACACCAAGCAGTAAACTATTTAGAAAATTGTTTGAAAAATCTTATTAATGACACTTTGGAAACTTGTGCGTTTACAACTGACTTGTGGACTAAAGCACATAAACCTTACATTGGAATCACTATATATTGGCTTACTTCTGAATTTGAAATGCACAAGATCTTGCTTACAATTGAAAGCTTTTCATATCCACATACATCCGAACACATTGAAGATTATTTGCGTAAAGAACTAGTAAAATGAAATTTAAGCAACAAATGTTTAGCAGGTGTAACAGATAATGCTAGTTCAATGGTGAAAGCAATGAGAGATCTTGAAATCTTACATATTTGATGTATGACTTATACTATTTAACTTGGAGTTACGGATGGCTTAAAAGAAGTAACTGTTTTAATTAGTCATGCAAAAGTCTTAAATGCCTTCATTGTTGAAAGAGATAAATACCGAAAATGATTACAATTAATACAACTCAAAATGGCCAAAGCAAATAATCTGTTACTAAAAAACAAAGATGTTTCAGTATTAGATCCAATATCAAATGATATTACAATCTGGTGAAACTCAACCTACCTATTGCTAAGCTGACTACTTGATCTTTATAAAGCTACAAAATTATTACAGCAAAATCTAGCAAAAGACAAAGAAAGAGAAGTTAGAAATAATGCGAAAAAAATGAAAAAGTTACTTCTTAATCATGAAGATTTGTTGGGAATTCAAGAATTGGTCGAATTATTGGGTCTTTTTGCACATGTCACAACAATAATGGGCAGAGACCATTATCCTACTCTTTCAATGATGTTACCATTGATTAAAGTTTTACAAGAACATTTATTCCGAAAAGCACATACTCTTACCAATCCAATTATTCGTAAGGTGCGTAATGAAATTGAGCTATTTTTTGGAGAACGCTGAGATGAGCCAGGATTAGAAGGATACATTACCGTCATGCTAGATTCAAGATTTAAAGACCTAAGTTTTGAATCTGAAAAATTCGAAACAACAAAGAATAAATTACGACATCGAATAAAAAAAGATATGAGAAACATATATCCAACAACTTATGCTTCTGAAAATCATGTACCCTCTTTATTAAATTCACTGTTTGAAGAAGCTCCTCGCCAAGTGTGTCCTGTCGAAACTGAACTTAAGGTTTATTTTGACATGCCCAAAATGCCAAAACATGATCTTTCTGATCCACTTTATAAGAAACACAACCCATTAGTCTTTTGGCACGAT